TGTACGAAATTTATAAGATCGGTCCAACATGGCTTCCGTCAATGCATAATTATATTTTCAACAAATATATGTTCCTTGAACATGTATCCCTGGTTACAAACTCATCACAATACTCGTGGGACATTGCGTTTATAGCATAAACATTCAAAATGTCTCAAGAATAGCCACGATCCGGAACCTAAACAAAAGAGCTGGTCATCCACAAGCTGAGAGGAAAACAGGAGGCTTTACCTTGCACACAGGTAGCTTGTCACCTTGAAACGCAAGATCGTTTGGTCCAAAACCATCAGTAGCTGCGCATTCCGTGAATCCAAAATAAACGGTTTAAATAATGAAAAGAAAAAATTCTATTTTACTAAATAGATATTTGTGAACTTTAATCCAAAATCAGTGCCTCCATTCTTCGAAGAACACATGCTGCAGCGGGCACGAACTGTGGCGTTGGATACACAAGAATAGTGTCGATAGATCGTTTTCAGGAGATGATTCATAAACACTGGTGGTAGTTAACCACCCGTGGGAGTTGACCAAATTATCACAAGGCGTAAGGCATAAGTTAAAAACACTAATGCAAATTAGAACGGAATCAGCGAGTGCGCGACAACCGTTGAGCATATACGAAACAAGAAGACTAAATGTGCGGCGTAGACCTCGCCGTTCGCAATTGCAGTGGATCGGAATGCCAAGTCGGAAGAGACGGTAGCGTTTAACTCGAAAGTTGAGAGGTCGCCTCTTAAATATCCGGCCAGCTGACGAACTTGCCATGATCGCAACCTGAATGTAAACGGGTACCACAAGTAAAAGTATACGGTGAACGGCATGTCAGCGTTTCCAAACTTTGTTTGCTTTTTGTTCTTGCCCGTAATTCATCTCAATCTTAATCCGCCTGACGTCTGACAGGAAATCGGCACAAAATGTAGCCGTACGAAATCGAGATGAGTCAAGAAATGAAATCAGTCGAAAAGAGGGTCAATCAAATGGAGAGATGTGCGACGGCGTAGAGCGTGATATATTGAGGTGACAGTCATTCTGAAAGGAAAGGTGCACGGCAGTAAAACCTGTACTTTTGTTTAGAGCGCAGTGATCAGGTCAGGTCTGTTAGCATGTGCAATAACTGCTGTTATCAGCAAAGCT